ATCCTTGATCAAAGCAAAATGTCCCGTGTTGTGGTCTCAAGGATCCAAAATGTACAGCAAGTTGATGTGTTTGTCCATCTTGCAGCTGGTGAGGCGTATCGGAAAGATCACAAGTTTCGTTTCTTTTTCCGTTTTTTTTTTTTGAAACAGCACACATTGATGGATATATTGTTTTGTTGTTGTTCGAATTTTGTTATTTGATTTACAGATATCGGAAACTCAATGTTCTGTAAATTTAATATCGACGTATAATGTGGGTACAAAGATTCTCGATCTGCATTTCTTTCGGGTGGGTGAAGAGCAGCAACCACCGCCCACGCGAAACATGCATTATCCGCAGATTTCACATTAATTACAGCTCGCTTCAGCTGTATTTCACGCGGTAACTCAATGTGACACCCCGCATGCAACGAATTGTATTTGTTCACTTTGACAGTAAGATTGAGTATTTTCGACAATGCCCATCTGCTATCGCGTTCCTGGAATTCCTCCAACGATGTCAAAGTGGGCTCGATAACACGTCGCTCGTACCACTCTTCGAGATCAGATACGGAAAACGGTTCAAAGTTTTCCGTCATAATACTTTTGTTCGCACGTTTTTCACTCGCGACAAACTCATCGTTAAACACAGTGTTCACTTTGAGACTTTTGTGTTCACGTGTCTCTCCATAGCGTTTTGCACATGTCCGAAAGAAGGTATAGTATAGGGGTTCTAACCCATGGTCCTCCGAGGGGGGGTGAGGGGGGTACCGCGGGCGGGGGGGTATGACGTCACCCGGGGGGTATGACGTCACGAGAGTATGACGTCAGGGGGGTTGCGTCACCGCGGGGGGGTATGACGTCACCGCGGAAGGGGGGGTTATCAGCGGTCGGTAAATGGGGGCATACCGATGTTACCGACGGTCGGTAATTTTTACCGATATTATATAACATTTAATTACATAATTTTTACGAACATATAATTTTTACCAACATATAATTACACAATACCAATAGTACACACGATCGGTAATTTATTACCGATATTATATACCAATATTTAATTTTTTCATCAACATATATATATTTTTACATAATTTTTACATATTTTTACATAATACCGATGATCGGTAATTACCGATATTATATAATATTTCTATCTGCTTTCGATAGATCATTTTACCGATCTGCGGCGGTTTTTTCGCGGCGGTTTTCGCGACCGTTTTTCGCGACGGTTTTCGCGATGGTTTCCGCGGCGGTTTCCGCGGTGGATTTTGCGGCGGTTTCCGTGCCGCCCGCGCCGCCCGCGCATTTCGCAGCGTGATTTTTTAGTCACAGCTGCAAACTCTAATATTCTGCAAACGTATGCATTCGACAATTAGATGCACAAGAAAAAGAATGTGACACATGATATTCTTATTACTAATGAGCACGTACACTGTGCCCTCGCGACAAGATTTTACGTGTTATGCATCTCTCGCTGCGCTCCACAAAAAGACCGAATAACATTTTAAGACTATTTGTGGTGTATCGAGAAAATAGGGAAAAAAGGAGTAATACAAATAAGCAGCAGATCTTGGGATTACAATTTATATATTTTGAAAGTGTTACATGTACAGATTATTTGTTCAATACTTCATACATAATATCATTCATTGCGCACGCCAATAGCTCGCAATCGATGAGTGAACCACCGTCAAAGTCCCCGCTATTGCGTATCGTCGATATAGCATTATCCGTTTCGGTAATATTCTTCTCTCGAAGAATTTTTACAAAATTTCTATATTTTGTATTAACAATGTGTGTATTTTCATATAACCATGAGTACATATGGTCAATGCAATGCTCGAGAGTAAACAAATGTTCCACTGTAGCTGGTTGCAAGTACATGCAGTTACCGGATAATGTGAGTTTTAAAAGTTTCTTGCCGTACATTGTGCACCATTCCACCGCCAAATCGCGAATCCATAGCGGAGAGGATGACACCTCGGTTGTTTGCAAAAGTTTTAAAATATCTTCACGTTTTGCCATCAATCCTCCCCAAATTGCCGAGTGTAAGGCCAATTGATTGCCACGATTGTCACCGAGGACTAGTTGCACTGTGGATACCAGTCCTACGCTGATCCCAATCTCCAAGTACTTAAAAGACGTTGACGTCAAGGCATATCTTCGCCCTAAAATACGGGCTGTACAACGCGGTTGCGATATACTGTAAAAACATAAATAATTTAACGCGGTTGCAACACACAATTAAAGATAAAAGATTCACAAGAAGATAATTATTGAGACATACCTTTTTTTCTCGTACGGTGGAGCATCATCTTGCACAGGTACATAATAGTTCATACGTTTTCCTTCAGCACTGTGCATTCTTTTTCAAAATAATAATAGTCCACTAAATGTCTTTGTTGCAAAACGACTGATGCAACGAATGACCAAGAACCGCTTTAAATACGTTTCAAAATTCCTCCCCACCAACCGAAAGCAGTGCATAATAATAATAATATAAATGAGACTCACCTAATTTTCATCTATATCTACTTCTACTGTACAAATATATTTGATCAAATCATTCAACAAATCTCTGATACGGCGCCGTAGATAACCAATCGAATACTCATATATCGATTGAGTGTTTCGCGCCATACTGCATCATCGAAAAAATCGATTTCCGATATTTATATCAAAAGTGCAGTCCAAAAGTATTCATGTAAGATCTCTCTCTTTTATGCGTCACAATGCAGCATTTTTGTGCTGACACATCGATTTGCAGTCGACAGATGCGCAGAAAATGTGAAACATGATATTATTATTACAAATGAACACGTGCGACAGTAAGATTCGCAGAAAATGTGAAACAAGATACTATTAC